AGTTAATCAGGGGTATCCTAGATTTCTTAAAAGAATTCACAGACTTTTTGGAATTTCCTTATTAATATGTGCATGGGTAAATGTATATTTGGGAATCAGTACATATTGTTTATCTTATGGATTTGAATCATTACATTATAAGGTTGCATATCTTATATGGATTACTGTAATAATAGCAACATTTATATTTGGTGAATATTGGTGGAATTGGAAAGGAACTTGGAAATGGAAATATACCTTGTTGAATTTTAAAGAAGAAAATGAAGAAGGAAATAATAAAAAATCCATTATTTCACTGCATATTACTAAAGAATGTTTTGATAAATTACCAGAATTTACATGGAGAGAAGTTAATGAACGTGTCCAATGTGGAGCATATTTAGTAGTTTGTGATGGATTTATTGTTAATATGAGAAAATGGATTAAGGTACATCCTGGTGGAGCAAAAATTCTTGAACGTGTCATTGGAACTGACATAACAAATGATTTTTTTGGTTATAAAGGTAAAGGGATTATTGAGCAGATTAGTAACATTCCAGAAATAAAGTCTGTTCCAACTGGTATGTCAACATCAGTTTTAGGGCAGTATACAGATATTTTACGTGAGAGAACCAAAAAATACACAACTGAAAAAAATTCAGTTGCACAAGTTGTTGATGATATGAATGTTAAATATTTTTTAAAGGCACCTTTGGCTATACACCAACACAGTTTGTTTGCAATTAAGAAAATAGCAACAATGGTTGTAGCAAAATTAAAAGAAACCCCAGATGTTGTTATTGGATCACCAATATCACCAATATCACCAATATCACCTGCACCAATATTTGGACCAACAAATGTGGCTGAAGAATTAAATGATTCAGAAATTACTAAACAAGATACAGCATTTAGAGTAAAGTTCCGCAGATACAAATTAACAAGTAAAGCACCTATCAATGGTAGTAAAAAGTACCCAGTGATGAAATTCACATTCACAATAGTACATGAAAATGAAATTAAAGCTTATAATAATAAATTGAAATTCTTACCAGGACATTATATTGAAGTGCAATCAAGAATTAAAGGACAAGTAGTAATTAGGAGTTATACACCAATAGAAGGCAATATTGCTCAGAGTTTTAGTATCTTTGTTAAAGTGTATCCAGATGGATTAATGTCACGACATTTGGTAAAATTTAAAATAATTAATAATTATATAATTCTATATTTATTATTTTTAAAATCCATTAGTCATTTATTGATTTAATTAATCAATAACTTAGAATAAACAATTAAAAGGATATGAGATTCAAGTGAGAGGACCATTTGATG